CATTTCCATGCTAGATGCCCCTGCCTTTTGTCCCCCATTACGGTTTGGGGGTTTGGGTACAGAACTTGCACTTGGGGGGGGGTCCCATTCACCCCTGTCATTCAACCTTCTCTTTTTAGCTCACTGCAACTGTAGGGACCCCCTACTTCCAAGCAAGCAAAGGCGTTGAGGGGCTTGCCAACTCCCCCTTGGGGAACCCCTGGCCAGTTCCTGCTACCACCCCTTCCCAGCTCCGCATTCCCACAGAAAAGGGGCTGAGTAAGGCTGGGAAGCCTCGCATCCGAGGTCAGGCTCCCCCCCCCCCCCCACCCCGAAACCCCCCTCCCCCCTCTCTGCAGGAAACCTTCCCATGGCAGGATGGGAGGGGATGGCATTTGCTCTGGAGGACCCTCCCTCCTGGACTTCCCTTCCTCTCTAGGAACTCCTCTTTTCTAGCTCCTTTTAACCCTTCCAAGGCCAAACAGCAAAGGATCTGATGGAATCCTGGCCAGCCTGCCCACCAGTTTAGCCCCCCCCCCCCCCGAGATGCACCTGCGGGATTGACTTCAGAAGGTTGAAATAGGCATTACCTTAACTCTGCAGATAAATGGAGTGGGGAACCAACTTTGACAGTGTGCTGTAGTGGTTAGAGACTGGGATCTGGAAGATCTGGGTTCTCATCCCCGCTTAGCCTCCAAGTTCATTGGGTGACTTTGGGCCAGTCGCTGACTCTCATCCTGACCTACCTCAAAGGGTTGTTGTGAGGATCAAATGGAGAGGAGGAGAACAGCATGCATTGCCTTAGAGTAATAGATGGGGTGTACATGTACTGAATGAATGTATCGGCTCACAGTGAGCATCCCAACATCTGAGGGCAACTGCCTGTGCACTCCTGAAGTGTTCAAGTGACAAGCCATAATGTCTGATGGCATGACAAGCCATGATGGTCTTTTACATTGTTATTTATTTTATATTGTTAATTTTATATTGTTATTTTTGTATTTTATTGTATTTTATTGTGTTGTAAGCCGCCCCGAGGCTTTGGCAAGGGGCGGCATAGAAATGTTTTAATAAATAAATAAATAAATAAAAATTTGCCATCATTGGTCTGTTGTGTTGTCCAGACCCGGTTTTGTTATTTCACCATGGTTAGATGGTCTCTAGAAACCTCAGTAAGAAAAAACGGTTTGTTCTAAGGCTTCTCTGAAGCACCATGGTTTGTCATGTTGTCCGAACCCAGAACCATGGTTTCCACAAGGCTGGTATGCAACTGCCACAGAGTCCCCTGGAAAGAGTGGCAACGCAGGAGCCACCCCAGCCGTCCAGCCTCTATGCACTGACCTATGGAGAAGAATCCAGTGTCCCAGGCAAGCAGCGAGGCACCTTGGGACTGAATTTCAGGCATGGTGGGATATGTGCCAACAGCTGGAGGACTGAGCAGGGAATAATGTCTACAGAGCCAGTGTAGGGTAGTGGTTAAGAGCATCGGACTGGGACTCAGACGGTCTGGGTTCTAGTCCCCGCTCAGCCATGGAGCCAACTGGGTGACTTTGGGCCAGTCACAGACTCTCAGCCCAGCCTACCTCACAGGGTTGCTGTTGTGGGGATAAGATGGAGGAGGAGACGTAAGCTGCCTTGAGCCCTTTGTAGGAAAAAGGCAGGATATAAATCGAAAAATAAATAAAATAAGAATAAATAAAATAAATAAATGCTGCCCATCCATATTGAAAGCACTGGAAGGTTCTCTGCCTCTGAACATAAAGTTCCATGTAGCCCAACCTAGCAAAAGATGTATAGATGCATATAATTGAAGGCCATTGGCCTCGCCTCGGTTTTTTAATTCTCCCATGAATTTTGGTTTCAGTCCGTGCAACAACTTCCTTCCAAAAAAAAGCAACTTCTGGACACTAACCAAACATATGTTTAAAAGACTTATGGTAGTGCCAGCAATTGGCCAAATGAAACAGCCCCTTATGAAAGAGATCTGGCAGGGACCCATAGATGCAAAACAGACGTTCTCGTTGAGTAAGATGCAGACTAAAATCCATAGACAGGACCAGTAGACGCTCCAGTGGTGATCTAGTGATTTGGCATTTTTGCGGAGGTTCCCACCAGTCCCCAAAGTAATACTTTTTACACATATAACAAAGAGTTGTTGAGTTCTTCCGGTTAGTTGACAACATTCAATGTGTATTAAGTTGACAATACTTAATACACATTGAAGTATTTCTCCAAAAGGCTTCTACAGTATCAGTGGAATTGTTTCATAGGAAGTTGGGCTAACATCCAAAATGCTACTGGGGATCATGCATAAGGTTTATACTATTCCAGTGGAATTTGATTTGGGATCAAGCAATCATTGCAAATCACAGTCTCCTGTTATGTAAGCCATCCTGAGGCTCTGCGAAAGGGTGGCATATAAATATTCCAAATAAATAAATAAATAAATAAATAAATAGGTTGGGACCTTTGCTTTACACAATGCCAGTTTTCAGGGAATGTCAGTCATTTTAAATGCAGCGATTCTTTCCTCTGCTCTGCCATAATGGCAGTTACTCGTTTTAATTCCCTGTTTTTGGGATCTGTTTGCCTCTTGGATTTTTACAAGTTATTTCTTTTCTTTTCAGGCAGTGATGAGAACCAGGCAGGGTATTAATGGAAAGAGTCCAATATACAGAGGGAGAAGAGCAAGAATGAGAATGTGAAGTTGTACTCCTAGGAGAAAGAAATCAAATGCCTTGTTACAGGAGGGAAAACTTGGCTCGACATTACTGCACATGAGAAGAATGATTGTAAATCACAAGCTGAATATGAGTCAACAATGGGATGTGGCTGCAGAAAGGACAAATGCTATTTTAGGTTGCATTAACAGAAGCATCACTTCCAAATCATGTGAAGGACTAATTCCCCTCCACTCAGCCCTGGTTAGGCCTCACCTGAAGTACCGTGTCCAGTTCTGGGTACTACAGTTTAAGAAAGGTGCAGACAAGCTGGAAAAGATCAGAGGAGGGCAAGGAGGAGGATCCAGGGACTGGAAACAAAGCCTTGTGAGGAGAGAGTGAAGGAACTGGGCGTGTTTAGCCTCAAGAAGAGAAGATTGACGGGAGATAGCATAGCACTCTACAAGGGTCTGAAAGGCTGCCACAGAGAGGAAGGCCAGGGTGTCTTCTTGACTCTCCCAAAGTGCAGGACATGCAATAATAGGCCCAAGCTGCAGGATGCTTGATTCCGACCAGGTATCGGGAAAAATTCCCTAACTTTACAGTGACCCATGGCTCAGGGAGGTTGTGGGGTCTCTGACACTGGAGGCACTCACTGGGTGGCTTTGGACTCATTAAGCTCTTCTTTTGAAGAGCCCAGTGGGTAACTTGGGGCCAGTCATAGCCTCTCATCCCAACCCACCTCACAGGGCTGTTGATGTGAGGATAAAACGGAGATATGTAACAAAGAGGAGGTGAGGAAGAAAATAAGAGACTCCTTATGCTTGGAGATAAGAAAAAAGAAGCTCAACGGCCCATAATCCTAGGGATGGGGGGGAGGGAATAAGTGTGCCCATGGACCCAAAAAGATTGCCTATCCCATCCTAACAGAACGGGTAGCATAATCGAGGTGTAACACCACTGGAGAGGTAATACATAACTGGTTATAGTTTCAATTTCTCTTTTCATCACAATCCAGCAATTCAGGCAGACTTTCCCAGTAGCTGTGGATGATAGGTGTTGCAGTCCAAGGCACCCAGAGAGCACCAACCCAGGGAACACAGTTTTAGGGGATGGTGCCCAAAGGTTAAAGAGATTTGTTCTTGGATAATCACATGTCTAGTATTTATCAGGTAGCTTTGTGTACATTCTGCAAAGCTTTTGATACCAGTAATTAAAAAAAAAACTGACAAAACTGAGGTTGTCCGACTTTGGGCACATTGTGAAAAGGCAAGACTTCCTGGAGAAGACAATCATGCTAAGGAAGGTTGAAGGCAGAAAAAGGGGAAGACCAAATATGAGGTCGGTGGAATCCATAAAGGAAGCCACAGTCTTGCATTTAGAAGACTGAGTTGAGCTATCACAAATAGGCCATTTCGGAGGGCTTTCATTCATAAGGTCGCCCTGGGTCAGAGATGACTTGACAGCACATCACGACAACAGCAGCAACTAATGAGGCTGATAAAATTGCCAATTCGGTTTTACAACTGCCCGAAGTTTCACACATCCTCCACATGGAAACGCTGCAAATGATCATGCCAAAGGCTGTGTGAGGGAGGTCCCATCTGGTGCAGCACGCTGTTCCCACAGTGGTATCTAGTTGCCATAGCATCCTCCTGACCATACGCCACAGCAACTGGGGTACACACGCATATGGCCTCTGGCACTGGAGGAAGCCTTTGGCCATGAGGACTAGCAGCCAGGGATGACTTTTTCCTGCAGAAATTTGCCCAGTCCCCTTTTAAAGCCCTCCAAATCGGTGGCCATCAAGCCACCTTCAACAGTTTAACTCCACGCTGTGCTGAGAAGTCCTGGCTTTGCTCTGCTCCGAATCTCCCCCCATTCAGTTTCATGGAATGACGCCCCCCCCCCGCCGGTTCTATCCTACCCAGTGTTAATCTAAAAACGCAGCTCTATGCAAATGTATCCGGTGGAGCGGTGGGAGAAAACCTTGCAAGATCTCCCATCCACTCCATGCACAGGGTTGGCACGCAAGCGAATCCCATGCCTTCCAATGGGCCGCCTCTAAGCGCGCCCCACCCTGCGCCGCCCCGCTCGAAAGGGGCGCGGAAGGCGCCGCGCGTCCCCCTCGCTATTTCCCCAAAGCCCTCGCCTATGGCTTGGTCTGGGAAGGGTTAAATGAGCTGAGCGAGATGGAGTCCTAGAGAGGAAGGAAATTTGGGGGTGAGGAGGAGGCGGAGGCGGCGGAGGAGGAGGAGGAGGAGGAGGCGGGGGGGCCTCCGGACCAGCGCGCCTCCCCATCTTGCCCCGGGTGCAGCTGCAGGTTGGTGCGCGCACGGAGAGGCGAGCCGCGGGAGGCCGCAGCGGCTGCGGCTGCAACGCGGAGCCCCCCTGGAGCAGGGGGCGAGCCCGGCCCGCCTCTGCTCGGCGCCCCCTCCCCAGCCGCCGCCTTCTGCGGGGGGCCAGCTGGCCTTTGTCCTTCCCACCGAGGAGGATCCGGTGAGTCCGCCCGGACGTCGTGCATTTGGGAGCGGGAGGCAGGGGCGGTGCTCGGCCCCCGAAAGATGCGGGGCTTGGGCGCACGGGACGGGCCCCCCTCCCTGGGCGCAAATGTGCCTTTGGCGATTTAGATAGCCTCTAAAGTCCGTGCGCTGGGGGGGGGGGCGGTTTCTAAAGGGATCTGTCTCCCAAAGACATCCATTTTTTCCAAAGGGATGCCTGGAGAGAGGCAAAGAGGGCACGGAATTTCAGGGAAAAGCCTCAGGCAAGATGATGCTGCCGGGAGTGGGGAGAGGCAGCTGGAGGGGACGCACGTGTGAGCAAAAAGCCAGCTCCTCCCGGGGATCAGGCGCAGCCGGGATCTCCTGACCCTTTATTTCGGCGAGGCCACCGAACGGGATGGCTTGAAAAGGAGATTCTCGAGGAGGAGGAGGAGGCGCCCCGTGGCTACTAGCCTTGCTAGCCCTTTGCCCCTCCTTCACACATGGCGGCCTGCCTGCATGCGCCAGTCGCTGCGGAGCTGGGCAGGCCTTGCACCCATCCTGCCTGAGGGATCCCGCGGGAAGCCGGTTCGCCACGTGTGTCTGGAGTGCTGGACTAAATGGATTCTTGGTCTGATCCCACAGGGCTTTTCTTAATGGTCTTAAATTCTTAAGGCGGCAGGTTGATGGGTAGATGACTTTATAAAGATTTGGGGTCCAGATGAAACATGCAGATCCATCAGTTAGCACTGCTTCTGGCAGGAGATCCAAAGCTGCAGAAGAAGGTGGTCTTGGAGAGAACGCCCTGCCCCAACTCTGACCCAGGGGCTGAATGAAAAAGGCAAGGAGCTTGGAAGTGGGGCTGAGAACTGTAGGTCAGACCCACACACAGATACCTGCACCCCATTCATTTCGTTTGCCTTTTTCTCTGAACCACTCTGCTCTAAGCTATTTTCATTTCATCTTTCCATTGGTTTCATTTGTGTATTTGTGTACCCAATAGCCAAGGGGTGGTTTAGAAAGATTGAACACCTGGAAAATATGGTACAGTCAAACCTCAATTTTCATGGGTGTGACTTTCACAAAATTGCATATTTGCGAGTTCGCCTTCAATAATTAATTGAGATATTTTATTCTGGAGTTTGGCAGCCTACCATGGAAAATCACACATCATGCAAATAGACTAGGAAATGTAAAGAAAGCTTGGAAAGTTTTAGTAATAACTATTATTAATCTCTTATCATTTCCTACTGTAAATATATACACAAATTTATTATAAACATTTTAATCTTTAAAACAGTTTTAGCATGCTAAAGAACTGTGGACAACACACTGGGGGTACCACATTTTTTGTCTAGGTATACTAGCCAGCCTATTGTAAGTGTTTTTTCTCTCAATGTGTGGCGTATCTCACATTTCTTGCAATGTTTTTGCATTTTTAAGTTCAATAAAATACCAACCTTAATCATGGGTCCAAAGCACAGTGCTTCTAGTGCTTCTGCAATTGCTTCCAAGAGGCACAAGAAAGTGAAGATCTTACAAGAAAAGGTTGAATTATTAGATACACTTCGTACAGTGAAGTCAGATGCTGCCCTTGTCCGCCCTTCCAGCGTCAACGAGTCAACTGTAAGGTGTATCAAGAAAAAAGAAAGGGAACTTTATGCTACACCAGTGCAGAATCCATATATATCTCATGTAGAAAGTGCTACTTTTATGTGGATGCAGTGTTGCTATACAAAGGGCATTCCTATAGATTCAAATACGATAAGAGGGAAGGTAAAGTCCTTATATGTTTCTATAAAGGAGGGGGAAGGCGAAGGGACTAGCTGTACAGAGTTTCATGCCTGCAAAGGCTGGTTTGATAAATTTAGGAAAAGGTTTTGCCTCCATGATGTGAAAATTACACAACAGGTCTCTGCTGACCAAACCCTGTAGTGAGTTTCCCTACACCATAAGGGAACTTGTTGACGCGAAGGGCTGTGACCCAAAGCAGGTGTCAATAGTCATCGTGTGAAAGATGCTGTGTGGAATTGGTTATTACCCTTCCTTCACATAGGCATAAGTATTTTTAAAATTAAGTGGCATTTTAAAAATTAAACATGTTTTTCAATAAACTGCTAGGTGTATGTATCAACAGGGTAAACCAGCCTTCCCCAACCTTGTGCCTTCCAGACACATTTGGACTGCATTACCCAGAATTCCCTGTCAATGACTCTGCTGGGTGGGAATTCTGGGAGTTGTGGTCCAAATGCTTCTGAAGGACGTCGGGTTGGGGAAGGCTGATGTAAACTAGCGGAGAGCGAGAAAGGATGTTAATATTATTGGATTTTATCTGGCCAGGGCGACTTATTTTATATTGTTATTTTTTGCATTTTAACTTAATGTTTGTACTTTACAAACATTTTAATTTAATGTTATAATTTAATGTTGTATTTTTTAACTTAATGTTGTAAGCCGCCCCGAGGCTTCGGCGAATGGGGCGGCATAAAAATGTTTTAATAAATAAACAAACAAACAAACAAACAAACCAGGACAGGTATGGTCATTAGTATTAAGAGTTCGTGTTTTGGGGACAGAAATAAAGATATTTGCAGTTTTTCCACGTGCACAGAGGTTCCCAATACCTGCAAATTTATTTATTTAAGACATTTGTATGCTGTCCTTTGCAAGAGCCTCAGAACTGGGAGGCTCCCACCAAGAAGCCCCCCTCCCTTGTTCCACCTTCCAAGACTTCCTTGAAGGAGGCACTTGATGGAGTGCTATGAAAATAAACATCTAGAGTTAGGGTGGAAAAGATTTAATAGGGGCAGAAGTGCTGCCTTCCTTTTAATAGGGAGACAAATGGCCAATTAGTCAGGAGGGTTCTGAAAAGTGCCACTAAAATTATCAAGGAGCCAGAGAAATTGCTCTAGGAAGGAAGATTACAACAGCTGGAATTCTTCATCTTAGAAAAACAGTGGGTAAGGGCAGACCTGGCAGAGGTGTTCAGAATTATGTCGTGAGTGGAGCCAGCTGGAGCCGGGGGTCAGACTGGATGGCCCAGGCGGCCCCTTCTGACTCGCTCTGTTTCTTTGTTTCTAAGTGGGGACAAACACATTTTTTCCTCCTTTCTCCTAATCCTAGAACCCAAAGGGGTCATCCCAAGAAGATGATGAGTGAGAGATTCAGGACAAATCAAAGGAAGAACTTCTTCATGCAACAAGGAATTTAGCGATGGCATTTGCTGCTGTAAGATGCAGTGAGGGCCACTAATTCGGATGGCTTTAAAAGGGGATTGGACAAATGTATGGAAGAGAAGGGCATCGTCTATGGCCGCTAGTCCTCATGGACTTAGGCTACCTCCTGCATCAGAGGCAGTGTGCCTGTGTGTACCCCTGGCTGGGGAACATGGGATGCATATGTGTCCTTGCTTGTGGGATCTTGTGGGCAACTGGTTGGCCACTGTGGGGTCAGAAGTTCGGGTGCTTGTTTGCTTGCGTGCAAACCATGTCTTAGATTTGGCCATGGGAGCGATCGCCAGTTCTGTATGGTGCTTGGCTTGCAAGCCAAGCACCATACAGATTATCTAGTTCAGGCGTTGGCAGCCTTTAACACTCAAAGAGCCATTTGGACCCGTTTCCCACAGAAAAGAAAACACCAGGAGCCGCAAAACTCTTTTGACCTCTAAAATATAAATAACACTGAACATAACGTTTTTTTACCTTTATGCTATGTATAAAAAAAACCCTATTTATTTATTTATTTATTTATTTATTTATTTATTTATTTATTTATTTATTTATTTATTTAGGAGACTTCTATGCTGCCCCATTCGCCGAAGCCTCGGGGTGGCTCACATCCATAAATAAACTTCCATAAAATAATATAAATTAACAGTATAAATTAAGTCGCCCTGGCCAAAGAATAAAATGAATAAATACTATTAACAATTAAAATGACGTTTGAATAAAAAGGTCTTCACCTGGCGCCAAAAAGCAAATAACGACGGCGCCAGGCGGACCTCTCTGGGGAGCGCATTGCATAGAGCGCATTCCATAGTGGGTTGCATTTATGAAACAGATCGGGGGCTGTGCGCAGGTCACAGATCGGGGGCTGTGCCACCACGTGTAGCAGATTGGCGCCTGTGCTGTGCCGGTGTGGGTCGCAGATTGGGGGTTGTGCCAGTGCGTGTCACAGATTGGCAGCTGTGATGCGTATTTGGGGCAACGGCGCCGCAGCGGAGGGATTCAAGAGCCACGTGCGGCAACGGAGCCACAGGTTGCCGACCTCTGTTCTAGGTGATGGGTTGTTCGGGGGTTTTCCACCGCTGGGCCGTGGGAAATTCCCTGCCATTCCATGGGGGGGGGGGGGGGGGGCAGGGGCACATCCTGCTTGCCATGGACCAGTGGCCCACCACCGGGGAGGGGAGAGAGGCTCCGTGGAAGCCGACTGGCAGCCACGCCGCACCAATTTCAGCATTTTGTTCTTTCGTTGGCATTTTTGTTGCTCGGTTTCTGCTTGCTTTGGAGAAGTTTCTTTTTTTTCTGGGGGAATTGTGTTTGGAAGCTAATACACAGGATACTGGATTGTGTGGAAGGTGCTTTTTGTTTCTGCCTCAGTGGTCCCCAAGTTGCGTTTCCTGTTTTTGCCTGTCCCCAGCTGTGGAGAGGTTGAAAACCACTGGGTTAAACAGCTGCTCAGTCCAACATGGCGTCCCCCAGGGATTAATTAGGTGGCAGTGATGACATGCAGATGGGCCCATCCTGTTTTTGAGATGGTGTGTCTACGAAGTACAAGTGGGCCGTTTGTCACCTTCCAGAAGATTTGGCCTCCTGTGTTCCCACGGCTGGTTATGCCACTTAGGGCTGATGCGAGATGAAGACTAAAACATCTGGAAGGTTACAGGTTGCTCACCCCTGGTGTACAGTTTAAGGAATGATTCAAAGATGCAAATAGAAAACACAGCTTTAGATAGGGGGCAGCATAGAAATAAAAATTAGCACCAACAAGAACAACAACAAAGGTCTCAGATATGGGCCAGTGGGATTGCTGTTTGTTGGCAACTTCCGTGTATTCTCTGCAGCTCTACGTGTCAATATCTGTCAATAAATTGTAAATATTACCAAGATGCCTAAAGGCTCACACAGTCTCAGCCTTGAGAGGAAACCCAACGTAGAGACGTGTGGCACTTGGTATCTCTCCAAGGAACCTGGAGCATATTCATAAGTATGATCTTGTGTCCAAGTTTTCTGGCTTCAGTACAAAATTTTAGAAACCAAGACATGTCCAGCTCACAGGCCTACAATCTAACAGTCATGCTAGAATAAGGAAAGGGCAAGAGGAGACGATGGGGAGAACCTGCGAAATTCAGGCATCCGTTCTTCCCAAAGAGGAGGGTTCTCCAGGACACGCCTCCATTTTGAACCTGTTCTGAGTTATGTTTGTCCTCGGGGGGGGGGGGGGAGGAAAAGGAATTCCCCTTCCGGCGCCGTGATGGTGATACAGAGCATTGCAAGGATCAAATTTTCGTGTAATCCTTCATGAGACTTTTAATGAATACAGTGTAGGAAAAAAATTAAGTAAATAAATGAATAAAATTGGCAGGAAAGCTAAAATTGACTTTTATTATGGCTACTGCTGTTAGTAGTTGCGTGTGTTCTCTAACACCGTGAAACAGCATGTGGATGATTTTTGTAGCAAACCATCCCTTGAAATTAAACCTTAGACTCTTTTGAGAGCACCCCATGGACTGTGGCAGTGCCCCAGTGTGCACCCCCAAAGAATGGGGGTGTTACTGCGGGGTGGGGGTGGAGAGGACCTCAGATTTCACAAAGCTGCCGTGCTCTGGTGTAATAAACAAATATTTTCTTGAAGGGACAGACCAGTGACAGCCTTGCGAGGTAGAGGACACAGACGTCACCCCTCCCTGCCACTCCTCAGCTCTCTTTTCTCCTTTGAGATATAGTTTTGCTTTTTCTGCCAGGAAGAAGACCCAGCTGGAATGGACTTGTATTATATCGTCCTGCCTCACAGGTGTTTAATCGTCGTTTTCACGTGTGCCTCCTTTTTCTTGGCTTGGCAGGACTTGGGGGGTTTCACCGATTCGATCCGTTCTTGCACCAACGTGGCAGGAGAAGGAAAGGTTCTGTCAGCTCTGTTGGGGGTCTCCTTGAAGCCCGAAGATGAACCGGGACGACGCAGCCAGCCCGGGCATAGGGAAAGCCCTTCCAGCCGTTCACGTTGGACGCCCCGGGAGATTCCAGAAGAAGGGCCTGGGTGAGGACTCCGTCAGCTTAGATGTGCATCGCCAGCGCTTCCGGCAGTTCTGCAACCCGGAGGCCGAGGGGCCCCGGGAGGCCTGCAGCCGCCTCCACGAACTCTGCCGCCAGTGGCTGAAGCCGGAGCAGCACACCAAGACTCAGATCCTGGACTTGGTGATCCTGGAGCAGTTCCTGATGGTCTTGCCTGCAGAGATGCAGAGTTGGGTCAAAGAATGTAGACCTGAGACCACTTCCCAAGCAGTGGCCCTGGCAGAGGGGTTCCTCCTGAGCCAGGCAGAGGAGAAGAAGCAGAAAGAGGAGCGGCAGGTGAGAGCATTTTGGCTTGGCAGTTTTGAAGGGTCAGCAGGATCTTCCAGGATTCCGTAATAATTCCCACCAATCGTCCCCCTTTTTTCCGTGAATCATCCGGGGAGGAAGGAAGAATGGGGAAGGCCACCCAGCACCCAGATCTTGTCTTCTGTTACTCTTTTCCTAACCTTTGCTCTTCCTTTCTTGATTCTCAGAAGACCTCAAAGGACCCAGTTGTAGAAGAGACCACAGAAATCCCCAAGGCAGTGAAGGCTCCGTTGGACATCGGACAGAGGTCGCTGCCTGGGTGGGTCACACAGGAAAGCACCGGAGGTACCTCCTTGTTAGGTAAGCATTGGGGGGACATTTTTCTGCTTGGTCTCCTCTTCTTAAGCCCGAGATAAGGCTGGTTTTAGATTAGAATCATAAAATCATAGAATAGTAGAGTAGGAAAGGGCCACGAAGGCCATTGGGTCCAGCCTCCTGCTATTGCAGGACACCAAGTCACACCATCCAACTCAGATGGCTGCCCAGTTTCCCCTTGAATGTCTAGTGTGGGAGAGCCCCCCACCTCTCCAGGCAGCTGGTTCCACTGTCGTATTGCTCTGTCAGTGAGGAAGCTTTTCCTGATGTCCAGCCTGAATTAAATAGACATACATTGTTCAGATGTGCCAGAGTCTTTTAAGCCCAGGGGTGGTTTGGAAATACAGTTTCATTGCCCAGTTTTACTTTTATATAATCATGTATTTTTAAGTGATCATGTATTTTATATAATCATGTATTTTTAAGTTACTTTACTTGTCAGTTATATACTGTGGGAGGGAGGGAGGGAGGATGGAAGGAAGGAAGGAAAAGTTAATCAGTAAAATGTTCCTTGCCTCTAAAGTAGGGGTGCAGAACTTTAGGAATGGGGGTCAAATCTAGTCTGTCCAGGTGCTTACTCTGGCCCTTTAGCATTCCCCTGGCCTCACCCCACTTTCTCTAGCCGCCTAGCATTTGATTGTTCCCCAGCTTTTGTGCAGGTTTCTCCACTTTTGAAAGAGATGAAATTTAAATTCCATTTAAAATCTCGTATGATAACCTTTTAAGAATGTTTTAATGTTTTGCATTTTATACAGCATTTTGCTGTAAACTGCCCGGAGAGGCTCAGCTATTGGGCCATATAGAAATCAAATAAATAAATGAATACAGCACAAAAGAAATTGCCAGTGAAGCACAACGGAGAACAAAAACCATCAATAGAGTGACAAACCTTTCAGCCACAAGCCAGCTTAAACACCAAAGGCTTCCCTGAACAAAAATGTCTCTTGCCTTCTGGCAGAAGGATGACAGAGAGACGCCAAACTAGTACCTCTGATGGCAGCGGGACCAAGAAAAGAGTCTGCCTGAATGCTAAAAACGCTGGCCGTCTCGTAAGGAAGAAGGCTGTCTTTTGGCTACCCTGGTTTCAGACAGTCCCACATCCCTTAACTTTATTTATTTATTTTCCGCTTTATATCCTGCCTTTTTCCTGCAAAGGGCTTAAGGCAGCTTACATCATCCTCCTCCTCCATCTTATCCCCAAAACAACAACAACAACCCTGTGAGGTAGGTTGGGCTGAGAGTCCATGACTGGCCCAGAGTCACCCAGTCCCACCCAGAGTCTCAGCCAGTCCCATGGCTGAGCTGGGACCAGAACCCGGATCGTCTTGAGTCCCAGTCCCATGCTCTTCACCGCTATGCCACACTGGCTCTCACATTAGACTGAACATGGGTTTTGGTTTCGGTTCTAAGCTGCTTTGGGCGTCCCCCTGATCAAAAACGATGGTGTTAGTATAATGACTGAATCACTCTTCTCTCCGCTTTTGTGCTCCTCGCAGGAGATGGACCCTGGATGCCACCGAGATCGGCTAGTCCATCTCCTCTCTCTGGCCCAAAGGAAACACCTGGCGTGCAGCTGGAGCAGGTACGCGAGGCTCTGCTGGGAATCCTGGCTGGGAAGAGCCTGGATCGCCCCTGGCAGCTCCAGTGGGCGTCTGGGCTCTGCTGGGAAGGGAGAAAACGGCCGTGTTAACTGATGGGAGGAAATGTCTGCTTCTTCCAGGAATCCTTTGAGGAGGTGGCCGTGTATTTCAACGAGGAGGAGTGGGCAATGTTGGATCCAGACCAAAGGACACTGCACAGAGAAGTTATGGAGGAGAATTGTGGGATCGTGGCATCTCTGGGTAAGCCTCCCTCTTGTCCTTGGATGGAGGAATATGCTAAAGAGAAATAAATAATACATTGTTTTGTTGTGGTTTCGCGAAGTCGCGTCCGACCCATCGCTGCCGCATGGACAACACTCCTCCACCATCCCCCGGAGTCCACCCAAGCCCACCCCCACTGCCCCAGTGACTCCATCCAGCCACCTCAGCCTCTGCTGCCCCTTCTCCTTTTGCCGTCAGTTGTTCCCAGCATTAGAATAACACTTCATACGTTTTGGCATTCTTCTACATTTCTACAGCCTGCATTGCCCTCTGGCTTCCTTGCTCATTTCTCTTCTTCCTGATCCCAATGAACTTTATGGGACTTCCCTGTGCATAGACTTGCACGAGACTGTGCTGTTAGTCTCCCTTTGAACCTGCACCCTGAATCCTTCCCTTTGAAGTTGGGTGGCTTTGTTACCCACTAAATGTGTATAGCCCCTTTTTATAGAAAGGTGGGGTATAGAAATAAATAAATTCCAGCAGACAGGAACAAACGGAAGTGGAATGGAAAGTGATGTCCCACTTGTAGATTTCCTTGAGATCCTGCGTTAGTTTAATTCACAGTTTTTTAAGTGCCTATTGGTCCGGAAGCAAAAGGTAACGAGGTGAGAGTTCTACCCTGCAGGTCTCCAACACAGTATCTGTGAGCTTCAGTGTGACTTTTGTTGCCCAACAGGTTCCCTGCCTTTTCTTATTTTTACTTTTATTTCTTAAAAAAAAGAAAGAGAAGCTAGGAAGCTGGCAAAATGCATTTTTGGAGTGCTATCAATATTCAGTTCAAAAGCATGACTTCGCACCAGCTGGGACAAGTTCCCTTTGTTTTAGTCACACCAGGTTGCCTCTTGGGAGATGGGAGTTTCATGACTGGCAGCCATTCTGTGAGAGTGCCCACGACACACTCAGAATTCCAAATATGTCCACAAGCTGCAGCGATGGTGTCCATTTGATCTACTTTACAATAGCTCTGGGAGTCGGTTGAGACGGTGAGGAAGGGATGGTCCTCTCACCCCCTCAGCTGCTTGGGGCAAGGGAGTGTCCAAGTCCCAGACTGCTCTTTGCCCCAAGCCTGGACTGTCGACTCAACAGCAGTTCTAAAGAAGGTGAACAATTTCATATTCTCTCTCATCTCTTAGCCCAAGTCCACCCGGCTCAACGGGTTCACTCCCCAGTTCACTGGTAATTTCTCAAAATATTTCCAGTACTTCAGGAAATTAGTCTCCTAAGTTCAGAATCTTCCCAAATTCAGTTTCCTTTCCTTTCATCTCCCCCAATCCTCCCACTCCATACATTTATCACAAAAACACTCTCAGATGGAGCTTCTCTTGTATTGCTTTATTTCCCGTTTTTATAGATTTGCTGTTAGGTTTGCTGGTGGCACCTCAGCTGTTCCTGTAAGTGGTCTGTGGGTGTGAATGAAGGGAGTTCACCTGGAGGCTGGATGGCCCCTGGAACAAAAGAAGTTCTCTACTGTTGGTCAGCAAGCTCTTCCTGACTCCTCCTCCTCCTCATCATCATCATCAGTTTAAGACTTTATATACCGTCCTTCACTAAATACCATCCTTCGCTTTCCATTCCACTTCCGTTTGTTCCTGTCTGCTGGAATTTATTTATTTCTATACCCCACCTTTCTATAAAAACGGGCTATAAACATTTAGTGGGTAACAAAGCTACCCAGCTTGAAAAGGAAGGATTTAGGGTGCAAGTCCAAAGGGAGACTAACAGCACAGTCTTGTGCAAATCTACTGACAGGTAAGTCCCATAAAGTTCAATGGGGCTAGGGAGAAGAGAAACAAGCAAAGAAGTCTGGTCTTGGACAGCATATAAAAGATAGATAGATGGATAGAAAGTAAGTCAGTCCCAGGATGGTAATACAATGAAATAAAAGTACAGCATCGAACAACAAAATTCAAATAAAACCCCATCTTAAAATAGTTTAACACTTAAAATCTTGGGAAAATAAAAAGGGTTTGGTCTGGAGCCGAAATGAAAAAAGTGTTGGTGCCAGGCTCACCTCTCTGGGGAGCATATTTTATGCTACAGAGGGGTTAACTGCATCACATCCTTGATTTCACACTGCATTTCTCTCGGTCTGTGATCAGCTGTCTCCCCTTTTTCCAGGAGAGGATGGACAGGAGATTGAAAAAGATGGACAACCGTGCAGGTTGGTGCTGGAAGCAGACAGATGTGAGGAGCCAGAACAGCACAGAACAAAAACTGAAGCAAAAGGGGAGGGGAATGAATCCTCTCCATCTGTCGATATGAAAATCCTAGTGTACGACATACCAGTCCAAGAAAAAATAGAAACAGAATGGAGTCAGTGCCTTCTGTGTGGGAAAACCTTCAGTTGTAAATCCAGCCTTATTGCTCATTGGGAAATCCACACAGGGGGAAAGCCATATAAATGCTTGGAGTGTGGAAAGAGCTTCAGCACTAGACAATATCTCAATTGCCATCGAAGAATCCACACCGGGGAGAAACCGTTCCAATGTTCCAAGTGTGGAAAGAACTTCAGTTCTAGACAGTATCTCACTTGCCATCAAAGAATCCACACAGGGGAGAAACCATTCAAATGCTTGGAGTGTGGAGAGTGCTTCTCTTGGCCAAACTCTCTTACTTTACATCAAATTATGCATACTGGGAAGAAACCTTATAAATGCTTGGAGTGTGGAAAGAGCTTCAGTAGAAGTACCAGCCTTACTTCACATCAAAGAATCCACACAGGAGAGAGACCATATAAGTGCTTGGAGTGTGGAAAGAGATTTATCCATAGCACAAGCCTCAGCTATCATCGGCGACGTCACACAGGAGTATCGCCATATAAGTGCTTAGAGTGTGGAAAAAGGTTTATCCATAGCACGAGCCTCACTTACCATCAACGATGCCACACAGGTGTAAAACCATATAAATGCTTGGAGTGTGGGAAGAACTTCAGCACTAGGCAGTACCTTACTTGCCATCAAAGAATTCACACAGGGGAAAAACCATATAAATGCTTGCAGTGTGGAAAAAGATTTATTCATAGTACAAGCCTCAATTACCATCAACGACTCCACTCAGGGGAAGAACCATTTAAATGCTTGGAGTGCGGGAAAAGTTTCATTACTAGGCAACATCTTACTTACCATCAAAGAATACACACAGGGGAGGAACCCTTTAAATGCTTGGAGTGTGGAAAGAGCTTCAGTAGACGCACAAGCCTTACCTCACACCAGAGCATCCACATGGGGGCAAAACCCTTTAAATGTCTGGAGTGTGGAAAGAGCTTCAGTAGTAGACAATATATTACTTCTCATCGAAGAATTCACACAGGAGAGAAGCCATTCAGATGTCTGGAGTGTGGAGAGAGCTTCTGTTGGGCCAACTCCCTTACTTTGCATCAAGTTATACATACAGGAGAGAAACCATTTAAATGCTTGCAGTGTGGAAAGAGCTTCAGTAGAAGCACCAGCCTTACTTCACATCAAAGAATCCACACAGGGGAGAAGCCATATAAATGCTTAGTGTGTGGAAAGAACTTCAGTACTAGCAGATACCTCATTTGCCATCAAAGAATTCACACAGCAGAGAAAGCATTTAAATGCTTGGAGTGTGGAAAGAGCTTCAGTACTAGCAAATACCTCAGTTGTCATCAAAGAATTCATACAGGGGAGAAACCATTTAAATGCTTAACATGTGGCAAGAGTTTCTGTTGGGCTAACTCACTGACTTTACATCAAAGAAGTCACACAGGCGATGAATTATTTAAGTGCTAAGAGATGGAGAGAAGAACCCATACTTCTCATTAGAGAATTTACACATGGGGGGGAAACACCACAGTTAAGACAAAGTGCAGAAGTGTGGATAAAGCTTCCTTCAGAAAATAAGCTTACTACATGGCAAGTACATAACAAAGGAGAGAAACATGCCAGACCTTAACTGTTTTATTGATTTTGTAAAGACAGATCAAACTTTAAGAACTATTTAAAAACCCACACAGGGAAGAACCCAAATAAATGCTTTGAGTGTGGAAAAGGCTTCCATTTGGGTGCAAGCTTCACTTCCCATCAGAGAATCCACACCCGGGAGAAACCCTATCAATGTCTGGAGGTGAATGCAAAGAGCTCCAGTTAGAGCTTGAGCCACAATTGACATCAAAGAGATCACAGAGGAGGAACCATGGATTTGCAAGGCACACTGGAGGAGGTTCATTCCCAGTACAACCTTGGAGGTGGTTTTGAGTGGATGAGGATGAATCTGCTAATGCCTAATCCTGGTTGAGTGCGGTTACTATGACTGGGACTTCTGTCAATCTAGGGACAGAAATCCAGCCTGTTCTTGGTGGAGTTAACACCATTCCTTCTGAATGAGGTCAACAGCCTGGGAAGTTCTCCATAATCCAGCCCCGCTCCTGGAAGATCAGGTACTGATGGGGACCCGAAGCGTCTGGAACCACCATCAGCTGATGGACCAGCTCTGCTTTCCCAGTGAGCCGCCAGACCTGCCCTCCTTCCTCTTGCCCTTCACGGTGGATGGTGAACATGCACTCTGCATAGAACTGGCTTTGGAAACGGTTCGGGAGCCGTGATCGGCCTACGACCAAGCTGTGGACTCTGGTGGGCAGATCAGGGCATGTAACTCCATGTTCTGAAGCGTGGCAGGTGAGCGTGCACGGCGGGACCTTGGCGTGTGGTGCGCCAGGACGGTGGCATGCCTCGCTGACGGGAATCTGTCCAGTCTCCACGCAGCCTGCCTCAAAGACTTCCCCTCCTCGCCCCAGTGGACTTTCGTGGAGTCCCTGCTTTGCATCGCTTCTCCTTTTCATGCAGTTTCACCCTGATCTTTGGTTTGCTGCTTTGTGCTAAATTGGCGTGGATTTTATGATGTTGCCGCACTGGTGTTGTTTCCGTTGTCAGTCACCTTGGCTAGATTTGTAGAAAGGTGGGGTTGGAAAAGGCAGATAAAGATACGAAATAGTTCTTTTTTACATAAAAGAACCCACTCAGGAGAGGCGGCTGCACTAAGGGATTTTGGAAAAGAGACATCATAAGCTGCTGTCTCAGAAGTGAGAAAGAGTCCTGTGGCATCTTAAAGATGTACACAGACATAAACTCCCACTTACGACAGGCCAAGCCCATGCCGTGTGCTGTCCAATTTCAGCTCTGGGGATATCATCCCATCTTACAACTTGCATGTGTGTGTCTTTTCTACAGTGCAATCCTATATGTGTCTACTTGGAAGTAATTTCCACTGAATTCCATGGGGTATGTTATAGAAAGCCCCTTCCCTTGACTGATTTTGTCTGTTCTTTTGCGATTTGGGAGGCGTCAGCAGTGCTGAAATGACGTTACTATAGAATGGACGGAGAAGAACCAATGTTTGAAGATTAGGTTTGTTGGAAGATGAAATAGTGAGTCCTGGTCGCTTTTAGAATGATAAACCTAGTGATACTGTCCACCCACATTCTTTGTCTTTTTTTAATCCTTTACTGAAGTATACTGTGTATTGGATGCTATTTATGTAATTTCCTATACAATTAAATAATTATAATTAGTGAGAACAAATATGAACGTGACACTGAGCAGTGAAGGCACCTTTTTTTCAGTAACACCCACCCTCTAGGTTATTGTTTTAAGTTGTTTCTCTCCTTACTATTCTTCAATCTCCCACAGAAAGGCAGCAGAGTTGTCTGGCAGATTGGAAATGTAGTCACCTACTTCTTTTCTTTCGTTTGGACTCACATCTCAGAACGTCCGTTGTCTCTCATGTCACAGAGACTGGCTATTTCTCAGTGGATTCTGCTTGGATCCTGCTTGGAAGAGGCATTTCGTAACCTTTACCACAGTCTTTCCGTACTAACAGCAGGTGTAGATTAGAACAGGATCTGTGAATTTGTTTGGTAATTAGCCGGGGTGAGTGATGGGGGATTTCTGGGAAATTTTGAACTGGAAAATTGCCTCAGTTGATTCAGACTGGGATATGTTCCGTTTGTATCATGGTGCCCAAAAGAGGGGTTTAATTTAACACAGATATTTTACTTGTATATAAAAGCAAAGGTTTGGAGAATATGAAAGTACCTTATGCCAGTTTTTGTCCCAATACACCACAAGTAGGCTTGGGATGAACCCTGTTGGAATTGACCCTCCCACAAGCATCTGTGGACTTGCTTTTGTGTCCAGCTTGTTCTTCATTTGCCGAGTTGCTTAGGCAGGAGGAGGTCTTGCACCCATCCTGCCGGAGGGATCCTGTGGGCAGCTGGTTTGCCACCATGTGTATGGAGTGCCGGGTTAGGTGGGCCTTAGCCCCGATCCAGCAGAGCTGTTCCTGTGTTCTTTCTTGGAGAGCCCCTTGTGACCAGCTTTCTTCAGCATCAGCTGCAGCTTCACAGTGGACTGGAGAAAGGGGAGCTGAGCCCAGGGACTCCGGCTATTTTCTCCCCCCAAACACATCCCTAATCACAAAAAATTAACCTGAAATAGTTTGAGAGAGGAGGATGTAAAACTTGCTTAATTTTATGGAGAGCGTAACCCTGTGACCAAAGGATATTTCAGCTTCTCAGATCCCAAGTTGGAGACAGTGCTCTAAGCTCGAGCTTCACAAATTATCTCCAGCCTCCAGCTTCCTTCTGCCTCCCTCTGAGGTGCTCCAGCTCATGAATTTCAGAGCAGGAAGACAGGAAAGTGGCTGATGGGTGTTGCTGTAGGGTTGTCCCATGAAATGTTCGATCATACAGGCATTTTTATTGGCATACTTTCAAGAATGTAAAAGCATGCATTTCCATGAAGCAGTTTAAATTTAAGGGAGGAAAGAAAGGTATTAAATGATCCTGCAGGTTAATACATTTTAGCAGCCCGATGAATTTCGTAGAATATGCTGATAACTACTAGAGTCACAGAGTTGGAAGGGGCCAAGAAGGCCATCAGGTCCACCCCGCACCATTCCACTCATCCAGGTTGTGCCATTTCACTCAGGTTGAGTACTTTCAGTTTCCCTGTTCTTTTTCACACACACATGGTATTTCAGTGACTGAGATTATTCTCCCATTTATTTGAAAATGAAAGATTCATTGCAGATTTGAAACTGGCAGGCTTGCCCGATTGTGCATATGCGAGAGGCATAATTCATGATTATGAACGAATGTATGAAATGAGCAGAAAAATCAAGCATGGGAAAAAACATTCTGGAAACATGTCCGTTTCGGAAAATTTCAAATGCATGCTTTTCTGCCCCTGCATAGCTATCCAAGATGAACAACAAACTGAATGTTTCCTGGAAGAATTATGGAAGCCCACAGGAACATAAAGTCTGAGATGGATGTGATCCAATCCAGTACTCTTCTGATCCAATCCAGACTCGAGGGTTGAGTTTAGGCCATTGCTGACCATGAGCCGTCATTGAAACATGGCTTATTGTGTGTCTGAACCCAGTCAGGATCGACCCACAGTTCATAGCCTGACCACAAACCATGGTTCTCTTCATGGTTCTTCGTGGTTAGCAAGCCATATTCAACCCTTGAGTGTGGGTTTTCGTGGTCATTCATTCTTATTTCCCTCCCTGCCATCTGCCAGTGGTCCATTTCCAAGAGCCCCTCTACACTAAAACTCTTAACATGTTCAGCTGAAAGCCCTCCAAACCCTGAACAGCAAGATGTGGCCACAACATTGTTTTCTGGACCCATAAATATCCCATGCTTGGCTTTCCATCCAAGTCTCCATTTGACCACGTGGCTGAGAAAGCAAGCATTCCTTTCCAGCAACTGGAAGGGATACCATGTTGTCTGGGAGGCATTTGGGATCTATTTCTGGGACCTCCACATGCCTTTTCACTGGGGCTGCGACCAAACTGAAATTCCACAAAGGAAAGCAGAAGGGGTGCAGTGAGGGAAGTCGCTCGGGAGAGGAACAAAGGCAAAATGTCCACCTACCATGCCCAATGCCCTATTTGGATGCCTCCTGCAAACCTAGACTGAGAACCTGCCTTCCACCTCTGTTGGCTCTGCTGGGCATTATTTCTTCAGGTGACCCAACCACATCCCATCTCCTGGCTGCTTTGGAAATGCCAACCTGACACTAGCTCAAAGCTACCTCCATTCCAAGGGGGAGTATTTGCCTTCAGTCCCCAGAGCGGTCTAGCATGGTCCCATAGACGCCATCCTGGCATCCGCCAGCCTCCCTGCCCTTCCTGATGTGTGTTTGTAGTTTTCCATGTATTATTATTCTTGTTTTTTCTTCATTTCCGAGAAAGCCTCTGTGTTCCATGCAGGCCCCAGAAAAATTGCTTGAAAATGAAATTCCTGGTTGGTTGCCTGCATGCGCAGCTGCCCAGAAAGCCAGAAAATACAATTTTAATCTGGGGTGAGGGGAGGACACGTTGAGGGAGGTAGGAAGCACCCTGGGGTGATTGGAAGGGTATTTTGACTTTAATCTCTGTGTGCTTTGCTTTTTTGTGTGTGTTTTAACTCATTTTACCTCTTGAGTGTTTTTCTGAACTGCCACAGTTCGCTTTCTGTGAAACGGGCATTTTGTCGTGCATTTTTGGAGGCCAGTAAGAGATTTGGCATTTGGGGCTTGGACCCCACCTTAGCTTTGTACTCTGTTCTTTCGGCCAAATAACTTGTTCCTCAGTTTGCCATCTGTGAAATGGGTGTTCTGCGCTTGGCCAGGCCCCCTGGCAGCTGTTTGTGAATGGGGAAGCGCCTCTTCCTTGGGCTTGATGGAGCCACCCTGCCCTCAAATGTCCAAATGCGCAGTCCTTCTCATGGCCTAGTGCACAGGAGGAGAGACGTTCCCTGGAGGGATTAGCTGCACAGAGCACCCCCAGTTTGGAAAAATGCATGGGGAGACCCCCCCTTTACCTCCTGGAACTCACTACCTGGGCCTTGAGTCTGGACATAGCAACTTCGTGGTGGTCTTCTGCATCTCCCCACATCACCTTTTTCTGGGCCAGATGGAAGAAGAAGGTGAAGAAGGGGCTTTTCTCAGGGCCCCACCTTGTGCCGTGGGCCCTTGGCAATGGCCCAACCAAGCCGGACATTCGTCGGAAGCTGCCTCTTTAAGAACCCATTTCCAGATGGGAAATTCCCAGTCTGCTGTCCCAGCAAAACCCGAGTACGGAGGCACTGTTGGTTATTTAGTTTTGGCGATTTGCTAGGCCTAGAGGTCCAAGGAGCAGTGGGATAAAATGGAAGAGAAATCCCCTCATTCCTCCCCATTGGCTATGCTGGCTGTGGCTGATGGGAATTGCAGGCCAAAGCCTCGGCAGGGGCTCCACTAGGATTTCCTCTCCCCGCTTTACTTTGTAGGCTATATAGTTGGAAACTTTAGGAGCTGCATTTAACTAGTCTGGACAGGTGGGAGTTTAGGTGGAGCTAAAAATAACCATTTAGATTGCTGCTAATTTTGCCTGCCAATCATTTTTGGATATCATAGCTATTTTCACTTGAGGCCCGAATATAATTCCTTGTATATCGTTTTCCAAACAGGCTCTACTGAGCGTTAATCTTTTGCATGTAACGATCACCCCATCTTGTGATTTCTACTTAACGATTGTACTTTCTCTGTAATCATTACGTGTTTCATATTTTAGTTGTGTGTGTAAAGTTCCTTTGCATTTATTCTCCTCCAGAAACCGTTTGTGTGTACTATTCTTGCTTCATATTTCTTGTATAACATGTTTTTATCTTTCGTATGTTGAGAAATGGCCGTTGCTTTTCTGCTTGGAATTTTAAATAAACCTTTCCGATTTATTGCAGCTGGTTATATGCTCTTGGTCACTGGGCAAATAAAGATCTGTATTTTTGCTTTAAAGATCAATATGCTGATTTCGACATAGCCATAGATCGAATAAGGTGCAGGGGTGTGTCTACAGGCTGCCTGGCTGTAGGAGAGGGAATTCCCTTGGAAAACCCTTCCCAGGTTGCATCCAGGAATCCATCTTTGGAATGCTGCCCAGCATCCTCACAGCCAGTGCAGTTCCTTCCCTGTGGCTCCAGAGAGGGAAGATCCCAATCCCTGACCACATCCTGTGTGGAAAGAACTGCACGGTTTGCCTCGCCTTGGAGGGGAGAACAAGAATCTGCAAAATGATACCAGTGGCCAGATCAAAAATAAGACAGGGTCACTTTGCAAGCCTTTGCAGGATGAGCATTGGACGTGTAAAGACTGGCAGGATGAGGTCCAGTGCAATTATACAGACCAACTGGGGGAAAGGCAAAAGAAGCCCTGTGAAAAGTCCTTCCTTTTGACCCTCTAGATCAGCCTTCCCCATCCCAGTGACCTTCATTTGGACTGCAACTCCCAGAATTCCCTTCCAGCAGGGTCATTGACTGGGAATTCTGGGTGTTGCAGTCCAAATGTGTCTGGAAGCACTGGGAATTCTGGGTGTTGCAGTCCAAATGTGTCTGGAAGGCACAAGGGTGGGGAAGGCTGAACTGGATAGGAAAGAAGCTAGAAGATGAGTAGGAACGGGTGGAACCCTTCCCCCACCTCTGAGGCCCAGTTGCCACCTTAGGAGACCAACATATGTGGCTTTTTCCACAATGGGCGCCCAGCATTTATAATCCCACCTTCCACATTGCAGAATCTCATGGCTGCAACTGCAAATAATCTTATTCCTTCCAGACAATGCTGGGAGGATTGGATCCTAAAATAGATTGGGAATGACAAGGGAAATTGGCTACTTTGATGAAGATGATGATGATTAAAAATGAACAACAGCCCAGTAGCCAAAGCTCTCTGAGCAGTTCACAAAAATGGCCAGCCATAAAGCTAAGATATTAGAAACAGAGCACACATCTGCAGCGCATGAAATTTAACAACGAAGGGAATTGGCTAAAAATAGTCACAGGAAAATCCTGGACCTGATAAAAAACAGCTGACAAACACGCCTCATCAGATGCCATCAAAGGCCTGGAAATAGGAGGCCAGTAATGGTGCCGGGGAGGACTCAGTGGGGAGAACAGTCTATACTTGGGGGGCCACCACTGAGAAGTCTGTCTCCCGTGCTGCCAGCTATGAATGCCCCTCAGAGGATGTACTTGGAAAAGGCCTCCAATATTTATTGGAGTGTTTATTGAAGTGTCAGCAGAAGCACTTGCAAGGTCTTACTTGCTGGCAATGAAGCTTACAAAGCAGCCATAGAATAGTGGCGCTGGAAGGGGCCCAGGGGCCACTGGGTCCCACCCCCTGCTCGGTGCAGGACTCCCAGTCAAGTCCTCCCCCGCCGATGGCCATTCAGTTGCCTCTCGAATGCCTCCACTGTGGGAGAGGCCGCGACCTCCCAGCTCATGGGTTCCAGTGTTGGGCTGCTCTAGGAGTCATTAAATTTTCCCTGATGCCCAGTGGAATCTGGTTCCTGTAACCTGAGTCCATTATTCCATGTCCTGTACATTGGAATGACCGAGAAGAGGTCCTGGCCTTCCTCTCTGTGGCAGCCTTTCAAGAACCGAAGTGTGCTATCCTATCTCCCTGCAGTCTTCTCCAGGTTAAACATGCCCAGTTCTTTCGCTCTCTCCTCTCAAGGCTTTGTTTTCGGTCCCCGGATCATCCTTGTTGCCCTCCTCTGACCCCTTTCCAGCTTGCCTGCACCTTTCTTAAACTGTGGTACCCAGAACCGGATGCAAGACTCCAGCTGAGGTCTGACTAGTGCTGAGCAGAGGGGAATTAGTACTGACATGTTCTGGAGCAGAGATGAGGGTCCTAAACACAGCAAGCTGAATATCAGAGAAAGTTTTACAACTAAAATCCACCTCTCAAGTCCCCCTTTCTGTGCCATGCCAGTATAAATGGCACATCTTTTGTCTCCTGTTTTTTACAGAGGGATTGCATGGCGAAGGGTGATGCAGGGTGAACGGTGAACGCCCAAAGGCGTTTTTCTCTTTAGTCCTAGCAATAACCAGGGAAAAGAAAGAGGAAATTCCTTGAAAATAAAGGGCAAGCATTATCTTCTCTGATTAATATTTTATTGTGAATTATACAATCAAGGATTTTAAGTTTATAAAAGTTTAACACTTTTTTAAACTCCAAGTTTTCTTACATGACATCTGAGTCACTCGGTTGCAAAGAATACAAGTATACTGCATGTATTGTGTTGAAATTGTTATGCATAGACTTCCACAAGGGCAGCCCAAATATCCGTGAATTTGTCATAAATGTATGTCTAAATCCCACCCTCTCAAATATCAAATTCATCAAGTTGTCCACATATGATGTTATTTTAAGTGGTTGACTGTCCTTCTAATGTCAACATAGCATCTTTTAGCTGTCAAAAGGGTGTGAAGGATCCATTTAGGCAGACTTCATGCTAAATTCCAAGAGAAGATAGAGAAGAAGAATGTGTGTGTTGATAAATATTAAGCTTTCCGTCACAACATTTATCTATCTGCTTTCTTCTGCAAGGAAGCAGCATTCAGGCATTGCCAAAACGTATGAGTCAGAATATGGAAACAGGAAGACTGTGTCCAGTTCTAGGCACCAAGATTTAAGAAAGATGCAGAAAAATGAGAAAGGGTGCGGAGGAGGGCAACAAAAATTATCCAGGGTTTGGAAACACTGCCCTGTGAGGAGGGATGGAAAGAACTGGGCATGTTCAGCCTTGGGAAGAGAAGACTGAGGGGGGACATGGTGTACCTCAAAGGCTGTCATAAAGGGGAAGGTCAAGATCTCTTCTCACTGATACCAGAGTGTAGGGAATGGAATAATCAATTCAAGTTGCGACAACCCGGATTCAGGTTAGATATTGGGAAGTTTCCTCACTGTCAGAGAAATACAACAGTGGAACCAGCTGCCTGGAGAGGTGATGGGCTCTCCCACACTAGACATTCAAGGCAAAACTGGACCGTCATCTGGTAGGATGGTGTGACTTAGTGTCCTGCACCAGCCTGAACCCTGTAGCCTTCTTGCCCCTCCCAACCCTACTATTCTATGATTCTATGAATCCATGAATCAATGGTTTGTTAGTTTTACCAGTAATAGTACTTAACGGGCAGCTTTGGGAACAATTATCATTTAGGGTGTTTCGAACTAGCAGCAGCTCCAAAGGGCTTTCTCCAAGCTGGGAGGATGGGCCCCAAAATAGCAAATGAGGTTCAGTAAAAGAAAGTATAAAGTGATGCATGTTGACACCACAAATCCCAACTTCAAGTATAAACTGGTAGGATTTGGAGTGACAGTAAGTGACCAAAAAAAAAAAAAAAAAGATCTTGGGGTTTTGAAGCCAATGTGCAGCTGCTGTGAAAAGGACATGAATTAGGATAAGAACTGAAAATAAAACTTCCAACACATTCTCCTCTTTGGTGTAACTGCACTTGGAATGCTGTGAACAGTTCTAGTCCCTACACTAAAAAACAGAGAGTAGAGTTGGAAAAAGTGCAGAGAACAGCCACAAAAGGGTCAAAGGGCTGGGACTGTCAAGCTTAGAAAAACAGGCAAGGAAAGGGAGACACGAGAGAAGTGTTTAAATACTGCACGGTGTGAAAGAAAAGAGACAGGGCTATTATTCTTCCTTTCACAAAGCACTCGAACCCGGGGGTCATCCTGTAACGCTGACTGATGGGAGGTTTGGGAGAGATAAAGGGACAAACCTATAGAAAAACTATTTTATTTTATTTATTTATTTATTAAAACATTTCTATGCCGCCCCTTGCCGAAGCCTCGGGGCGGCTTACAACACAATAAAATACAATAAAATACAAAAATAACAATATAAAATTAACAATATAAAATAAATAACAGTGTAAAAGAAGTCGCCCTGGCCAGATAAATAAGCAAATATTGTTAACAATTAAAATGACGTTTAAATAAAAAGGTCTTCACCTGGTGCCGAAAAACAAATAACAATGGCGCCAGGCGGACCTCTCTGGGGAGCGCATTCCATAACTTAGGCGCCACTGCTGAGAAAGCCCTCCTTCAAGTACCTACCCTCCTGATTTCTTTCACGGAGGGTTCCCGGAGAAGGGCCTCTCCCGCAGATCTCAAGGGGCGGCTGGGCATATATGGATGTAAGCGCTCCTTCAGGTAACCAGGACCCAAGCCGTTTAGGGCTTTATGACAACCCTTCAGGTTGAAAATCTGAGAGATGAGGGGTCAGCAGATGAAGAATAAAGAGGCAAAAGGCCAGGTAAGCCAAGAGGATCAGATCCAAGGGAGATCAGCAAGTGCCCAGGGGCAGCAGGGGATGAACAGCTGAGCTTCGAGGCATCAGACGAAAGACTCTGGACTTCAGCCCTGCCAGGCCATCACCTCTGCCCGCAAACTATGAAGTCTGAATTACTTGCATCCCATCTATAAACCGGCTCTGCCCTTGTGAGTTTCATTTTTTCTACTATCACCTTTTAGCCCTGAAGGACCTTCATTTTGGTTCACTGGGACAGATGCTACCAGCAGAGGTCGGCATAAAGATCTCATCATTCAAGAAAAGCCAAAAGAGGGGATAGGGATATAATTGATGTATATTATATATTATTAATTGTTATAATATGTGAATTAAGCGGATGTAGTATTGGTCTCTGGGGTGGTGGGAGCACTTTATCATTTACTTTTCTAATTATTAATTGAGTTTTTGTATGTTATATCATTATCGTTGTGATGTGTTGTATTTATGTTTTTTTTTCTTTCGGATTTAAAAATAATAATAAAAGGACGGCGGGTGGCGGGGGGGAGAAAAGCCACTTTTCAACAAGTACAGTGCCTTGCTGAAACTTCCCCCCTGCTTTTCGCCTTTGCTTCAGGATGTTACACCTGGAATTGCAATGC